TTGAACGAACATGTGTCTGTTTGCCCCACCTTGCTTTCTACAAATCGTGGACATCGTTGTGCCAAGAACAAAGGGCCCGTTTTGCTGTCAAGGTTGGGCTTTGAATTCGATGGCTGAGAACATCTGGACTTACTGGTTCGGAAAGGGAAAACGAAGGCAGTGGATAGTTACCGGGATGATTTCACTGATAATGGAGCGACAACTCTAGGCAAATAAAAGGATATGAAATCCTAAATCACCACGAGTATTGAGATTTCAACAGTGATGTTTTCGTTTTTTAGCAAGGACTGTTCGATGAAACCTCTCAATCTAAAACTGTATATTATAGATGCATTTGCGCTCACCAACGTAAAAGGTACAAAGAGATAATGTTGCAATAATTTAGGCTGACGACGGTTCTCCATCTCCTAGTGAGAGCCAAGGAGCAAATGTCACATCCAGTTCTCGTGCGCAAAAGATATTGTTGTCCAGCAAACATCCACGAGAGGTTGGACGCAAGCAATGAAAAGTTGGACCGATCGCAGAGAAGAGGACATGGTGCTGTCTGAGCTAGGGACCGTAACTGGGCTACAGATTGGAATAGTGATAGGAGGCGGGAAAAGCCATAGAAGCAGAGGGCCTCAAGATTTGAGGGTTAAGGCCCTCGTTTTCACCTCACAAAATCTCCTGGACCCGTGCAGTCCCATGGTAAGACCTTTCACTTTCACTTCTTATCATGGTACAGAAGTAGAAGATTGCCCTTCGAGGGCATGAGAATGCAGCCCCAACAATGTGTTGTTTTGTTGGCGCTCATGTTCTGTCTGATGTAACTTCAGCCTCGAAACCCAGGGGTAGATATTAGAGATTGGACCACTAGTTGAAAATGAAGCCCAGCAAAGTCCAGCTCCAGTGTTTACATAGAGAGGAAGCATTACATTTCAGGTGACAAGAACCCCTCTTCGTTCTGTCTTGAAGAGTTCTGGTTGGTGTCGTCACCAGATCTCACCTCCAATTCAGATGAACTGTGGCCCAATTCAGACCACATGACTGACGGTACCGAGCGATAATTGTTTTAATCAATGAACTACGATGAATTATTGATCATATTAAGGTTCTTTGATGGAAGAAAGTGAGAAGGAGATTTTTACTAGTGTGGGATCTATATGTATCTCTCTCCTTGTAAATCACTTTAATAATCCCGTTTTGCTAGTTTTTTTTATTGATTTTTTGTTAATTAATTTTAAAATAAACTTCACATTTTATTTTATTTTTATTTTTATTATCATATAATTAAGTAAAAATAGTCTACAAGTTTTTTTTTATTTTTTATTAAACCTATTAGAATTCAAAATTCAAGTCGTTAGAATTTAAAATTCAAGTCGAGGGTGTTATAGAACTCAAGTCTATCTAATACGTTATCGTCTTAATAATTTTAAAAAAGATATTATCTTAAATTTTTTTATAAAACTAAATGATATTTTTATCGGTTATCTAGATTATTTTTAGACCCATTAAATTGATTAAGTTATAATAAATTATTTTATAAATAATTTAATTTGAAGTTTGAATTAGATAAGAAATCAGTTCAATAAATTTTAAAATTAACTAATTAAATTAAGTTTAATGATAAATTTAAAATTTTTTCATTATCTAAATATTTTTTTTATATTTGTTTTTATTCAACCCGCAATATAACTAACTAGTTATCTAATGTTTATGTATTAAAACATTTGTGCTTCATCCAATAACAATAAATAAATAAATAAATAAACCTTTCACGTGTGAAAAAAATAAAGGCTCAATGCAAAGTCTTCGAAGCCAAAGAAGCTAGCAAAATATCGATCATACCTAATGTTTATAAAAGAAAACAGTTTTGTAATCTTGATCATCATGGCTGCTGAAGAATTAGGTTGACAAGATTCTCTACGCATATCCTTGATCTTGGATGTCACAAAATTAAAGAGATTAACTAATTATTTGCTAATAAACATGAATTAAATAATAGTTTACTCATAATTTTTTATTGTTTGAACTAAGCATTTATATTGGGATTGGTGGACTTTTGCTTGTAGTGAAGCAACAACCGTTGGTGGCAATCAACTAGTTGCCACTAAAACCAAATTAAGCTGCTGAAGCGGAGAGCCTTTGCCTTAGATTCCAATTTGTAGTGGGGAAGTCTACCTTGGAGCGCCATGCCAGTAGACTGTGAATGTTGACTTGCAGCCCCAAAGGGGGTGTCTTTTTCACAACTTTTTTTAAATCTCCTTAAAAGTGTTTTTATTTAAAAAACATTAAATTCATGTTTTTTATATAGTTTTAATATAGTAATATTAAAAATAAAAAATTATTTTAATGTATTTTTAAATAAAAAACTGTTTTAAAAATATACTATACTACAATCTCAAATACTTTATTATTAATTAATATAAAAATTCTAGGATTAGGAGAATGATTTGGGGTTGGATTTTTAATTCAAATGAATAAAAATATTAATTTGATTAAACTTATTTAACCTAGAGAGATTTTTAATTACTTGACTAACCTTTTTTTTTGTTTCTAAAAAATTTTATTATTAAAAAACATACTTTATAAATCTAAATAAATAAATAAAACTTTAACTATCATAATTTTTTTAAAAAAATATATATCCTAACTTAAATATAAAATCTACTATACATATCTCAGACTCTTTATTACGTTCCTTAAAGAACTTGGCTGACCTATAAAATTTAATCCACAAGTCAATATCTTGGAAGAAGAAAAACAAAGTGTTGTCGTTTCAATAAATAAAGTTGATTTAACACCCGCAAGACAAGGTGACGATACAAGTGACAAAGGCGTGACGTCGTCCAAGGTTAATCACAAACAGAACAAAATTGACGAAATCAAAAGGTTTGGAACTCAATTGATCATGACATTATACATGAAGGGCTAAATTGAGGTTTACAATTAATTTATATCCCGTTCTTGTGCATCGCCCCTCATTCAAGAATCGGCAAAACGTGATGATGTTTGCATTATTATATAAATCTTAAATTTTTTATGTTATATTTTTTGAAAATCTTAACTAACCTATAAAATTTAATCCACAAGTCAATATCTTGAAAGAAAAAAACAAAGTGTTGTCGTTTCAATAAATAAAGTTGATTTAACACCCGCAAGACAAGGTGATGATACAAGTGACAAAAGCGTGACGTCGTCCAAGGTTAATCACAAACAGAACAAAATTGACGAAATCAAAAGGTTTGGAACTCAATTGATCATGACATTATACATGAAGGGCTAAATTGAGGTTTACAATTAATTTATATCCCGTTCTTGTGCATCGCCCATCATTCAAGAATCGGCAAAACGTGACTGATGATGTTTGCGATAGTATTTTCTCCTGAAGTGAGGTTTGTGTCAACGATTACTCTTTCTTGGATTTTGTCTAGGATTGCAGTTTAGATGGATGTTGATTTAAAAAATATATATTTTAATGTCATGAAAAATAAATTTTAAAAAATAAAAAATATTTTAAAAGGGATACATATCCTTTAACTGTAGCACGAAAAGGAAGTTAAAGCAAAATAATGAGGAGAAACCCCACCAACAACAGTGTTCAAACTTACTTTAGAATTCCCATTCCTTTTCAAAATTGCCGAATGTAATCGATCTGATGTGATGATTACTGAAACCAGCATTAATCCCTTTCTTAAGCACGCCGTCTAAGGTCTCCCAAATCAGGCATGCCAATTCTTCGTTTTGCATTCTTCGCTGGAAGATCAAAGTGCCTCTGCATTATTGAGATAGCCCACGAAAAGGAAGTCCTTTTGAGTACTGGTAGCTTATGAACCTCACGTCTCCAAGGATTTCTAAGCATTTGCACTGCCCAGGCATGTGATACTGATGATTCATTACAGCATCCGCCTGCCCTGGATATGGACCCACTCCTATTCACCATGATTTCTCACAGAAAAAAAGGGTTCATTTTTTTATTTTTTTTTATGAGCTAACAATTTCTCCCGTTCTTGTACATTCATCTCTCATTACACTTTCAAATGAGTGGTCAAAGAAGCCAAAAACCAATCCCTGAAAACCATGATTACATCTCCTTGAATGACTTCCGCACCAAAATACTACCTGCAATCGAAGTTCCCAAATGGTAACTCGAAGTAGAAATTCCACCATTAGTTTTGTTTTTTTCAAGAAAGAATGTTGATATTGGACAACTATAGCTGCTTGTCTTGTGACCTGCTAATCACTGTAACGAAAGGGAAACAGGAAAATGAAGAAGAAGAGGAGATACCAGAAGATTATAAGAAGAAGATCATGTGAATGGTGATGAGTGGTGGTGTCAATTATCATAATAAATGACGGGAGAGAGTTGTGCAAGATCAATGGCAGGGAGTCCTCTGTCTGTGCGTGTGTGATGTGAAGGCATTAAAACTAGATCACAGATATTATTCCTCGGTCACGGATATATCCATAAACTCTTAAAAGCTCACCTCTTCACGGGACAAGCATTTAAGTAACGTGTTTATATTTTTCAAATATTTTTAGATGATTTGGATATATTAAAATAAAAAACATTAAGAATATCTAAAAATCAATGTAAATTCGGTCTGGTCTTTGTCAAAAAAAAGAAAAAAGAAAAGCACGGATAGATTGAATTAACTCATAATCTGGTTAGTTTTTTTTTATTTTAATAATATAATTTTAATTTATTCATATCCACTATGAATCAACTCATCACACAAATTTTAAATTAAAGCATGAATAAACCGGGTTTCAATGCTATGCTAAAAACACATTATATAATATTATCTTTCAATTTAAAAAATAATCTTATAAAACCCTAATATCAAACACATATTCAATTCCAATTCCATGTCCTTTTTAATTTTTCCTTGAATGCATCAATGGATCGACAACAATGCTCCCTTCTGGTTCCCTAGGATTGGAACCAAATGACCAAAACGACCTCATTGCTTCAAGAACGTGTTGTCACCATCTTGCACTTCGTACGTGCAGGTCACCACCCCACACAAAACCCCCACCTTAGCTTTCTTCGCTACTCTTTCATTCTCACCAAGCCCCATCCTCCCTCTCCTCTTCACTCTTCACTGCCAATGTCTTCCCCTCTCTTCCCTTGAGCCTCATACCTAACCATTAACCAACAATTAAAAAAAGAAGAAGTCCAACTTCAAGAACAGGCCCTCCTTTTTTGATATAAATAAAGGAGCACCCACTCATTCTCTGTCCTTTGAAACTAAGCCAAGAACTGCAGAAAAAGAATTACAAGTAAAGTGTCTACTTGTGTAAGCCAAGAAAGAATCAAGTTCTCTGTCTCTCTCTCTATCGATCTCCAGATGGGTTTTTGGTCAGTGGTGTTGTTTACTTTGTTAGCCTGCGCATCTGTCTCAATATCAGATCCAAGTGATGAAGCGTGCTTAACCCACTTAACTCAATCCTTAAAAGACCCAACAAACTCACTTCAAAACTGGACAAAATCAAATTTTGCAAACCCATGTTATGGTTTCACTTCTTATCTCCCTGGTGCTACTTGCAACAATGGTCGCATCTATAAGCTTTCTCTGACAAACCTTTCTCTTCAAGGCTCCATCTCTCCTTATCTAGCAAACTGTACCAATCTCCAGTCACTTGACCTCTCCTCTAATCAAATTACAGGCCCTATCCCCGCAGATTTGCAATCCTTGGTCAATCTTGCTGTGCTCAATCTCTCCTCTAATCGACTTGATGGAGAGATCCCACCACAGATTACAATGTGTGCTTATTTAAATGTCATTGATTTGCATGATAATTTCCTCTCTGGTCAAATCCCACAACAGCTTGGTCTTCTAGTAAGGCTATCTGCTTTTGATGTGAGCAATAACAAGCTGTCTGGGCCAATACCTGTTTCATTAGGGAATAGGAGCGGTAATTTACCAAGATTCAATGCCACTTCTTTTCTTGGAAATAAGGGTCTTTATGGCTACCCTTTGCCTCCAATGAAGACCAAAGGTTTGTCAGTTTTGGCCATTGTTGGGATCGGTTTAGGAAGCGGGTTTGCAAGTTTGGTCCTCAGTTTTACTGGGGTATGCATTTGGTTGAAGGTTACTGAACAAAAGTTGGCACTCGAAGACGGCAAGATTAGCCAGCTTATGCCTGATTATTGATATTAATCAAGTTTGTTTAGGTTATTACAATTCAAGATTATTACTAAGGTTGGGCTAACTGATGTTCTTAATTTTATTTCCTCTTTTCTTTTTTTTTTCCTAAAGTTAGCAGTTGTATTTTACTAATTTTTAGAGGGTTTTTGTTCTGTCCCACCCCCACCCCCCCCATCCACTCTTTCTTTTTCTCCTGAAGCCTTTTGGAACCTTTTCTCTTTACATTTCCCTTATAGTAGTAAGCATTTATTTTTGTCCAAAATGAACAGTGTATAAATTAATTCAAAGGAGAAACACTGCAGTTTCTTTCAGTCGTTTGATCTGAATTGGGAAGTAGCGATGCAATGCAGGTATGTGTGAATGTGTTTGTGCTCCTTGAAATTTCGTCTGCAGTGGCCAAAAAATTACGCTGAAAAAGATGATAGTAGTGGGCAACTTTTCTGTATATAACGCATGGTATTCTGATAATGGATGTTTTTTTAAATTTTTTTATAAAGTATATTGAAATGATATTTTATTTTTATTTTTATAAAATTTATTTTTAATTTTAATATATTAAAGTATTTAAAAATAAAAAAATAAAATTAATATTTTAAAAACATAGTTTTAAAATATAAAAACAAATATGGAACGGGAGACCTGGGGCTGGTCTCTGTATTTATAATAAAATGGGCTTTTATCTACTTCTCAGTTTTTAGTGCTTCGTTATCGTGAGCTGGGAGGAGACCAGCCCTCCACATGCTTGCAGAATGGGATTGTCAATGATCAATAATATTTAAATAGTATTTGATATTAAAGTATTAGTTTTTTTAAAAAAAATTATTTAATTTATTTTTTTATATTAGCATATCAAAATCATAAAAAATAATTTGAAAAAATAAAAAATAAAATTGAAATTGTCTTTTGAACTTCAAAACAAAGAAACTCTGACCATGTGTTGAAGTGTGAAATTTTTTTTATTGAAAATATATTAAAATAATATTTATTTTATTTTTTAAAAATTATTTTTAAAAATAAATATAAATAAAAGTTTTTAATTATTTTAAAAATATTTTAAAAATATAAAAATAAATGAAATTTTAAATGATATTGAAAAAGTTATCTAAGCCGAGGTTGTTAATATAAATAAAAGTTTTTAATTATTTTAAAAATATTTTAAAAATATAAAAATAAATGAAATTTTAAATAATATTGAAAAAGTTATCTAAGCCGAGGTTGTTAGTGTTTTGAGTACTTATTTGGAAAGTGTCTCTGTAGCTTTTAGAATATATTTTTAAAATATGTTTGTTTTGAAAAAAATTAAATTAATATTTTTTTGATATTTTTAATGATTTTGATATGTTAATATTAATAATAAATAGAATTATAAAAAATTATTTTTATGTATTTTTAGTTGAAAAACATTTTTTAAAAATATAATGTGTCACAATATCAAATACAAATAGAAATGATTGATAAACAAAATTAAAAATATATTTAATGAAAAAAAAAGTCAATGATATAATCTATGTTTTAAAATTAAAAAAAGATAACTTTCATTATCTTCATCTTTTGTGTTCAATATACTAACCACGCGCTATTTATACTTAAATAATCTTGTTTTCACCTAATTATTGTTGAAGTAGTCGATGATTTTGATAGGCTTCTTCTTGGCCAGCATTCTGCTCAGTTTTTCTGGTGATCACTTACCATTTACTTTGGATTATTTAATTTTATTAAATTAAATTAAAGAGGCTAAGATATAATCAACTATTAACTTTTTATTTGGTAGGTTCGTTTTAAATTTTGGCAAGTGCTAGAACTAGCCATGGATTTTTTTCAAGTTCTGTATAAGTTGACTTTGATTTCAAGATCGTATGCAAATTGGATGATTTCTTTTTTAATTGTCATTGACATGAGATAAAAGGGTGATATTGTCTGATTTTAATTATGTTCGGGGCATAGTTGATATATTTAAAATGTTTGGGACTCCATTGATAATAAACGCAAAACATTAAGGATTAAATTGAGGTTTTCCAACAACAATTGTCGAAACACAACGAATTCTTGAAGAGTCGTCATACGCAAAAGTGCAATCCAACATTTATATGAAAGGTAAAGTTGCCACAGCCTGGAATTGATAGCCACTTGGACTGGGACTTTCTCAGGGATGAACGGAGGAGTGTCTCAGGCGCATCCTGTTCTAAGAGTCGCTGCTGCCGCCATGCGTCAATTCTACTGCTCCAACATTTATATGAAGGTAATGGCTGAGCATGCTGGCCACACAAGGCCCCCAGCACAAGCATCCTCTGTCTCATCAGAGTTTGTTAGTAATAGAATCCAATGGCTGTGATTGCAAATAGTCAAACTCAAACCGAAAGTAAAAGATGGTCATGCTTGGTCCCTCCACTCCCAGACCCCAAGATCATGTTATTATTATAAATAAATAAATAAAAAGTCGATGGCTGGTCAAAAATCAAAACAAGTTCTTAAGTTAATTTTTTAGCGGTTTAACATGTCACTTTCTTTAGAGTGTGTTTGTCCAGGTGAAAACCGAGTAAAAGTGTTAAATGATGGTTTTTGATGGTTGAAAACTAACAAATTCTTATTATGTTTCTGGCGAAACAGATTTTATTAATATATGTTTATATATTTACAGATAAATATTGGATTAAAAAATATCTAGATATAATTTTTTTAAATTCTCAATTATGATAGGCTGACACGTGTCAAAATCAAACATATTTTAATGGAGGCACATTAGGTTTGATACTAACTAGATTCAATTCTATGTGAGATTAATAGTGTGACGGACCTAGCTAATTGAGACTTCACAATATGTCAAGCCCAGTACTAGGTGGGTTTGGGAGAGTGCTAAGCCCAGCTACATGTGGATTTAAGTCTATTATGACATTCTATATCTTAATCTTTTAATTAGATAAAATGAGTATAATACATTTTAAAATGTAACCCAAAATATCATGAAGATAAAGTTACACTCCAGCTTATTTTCTCCACAAAAAGATTAAACTTATAGGCTATAAATGCACAGTGAGACCTTTAGAATAAATATTAACAATTTTTATTCTCTACTATATATATATTTCATATTATTTTTTTTAGAATATTATTGTATTTTTTTTCTAAAAAGGATATTAATTTAAGCATTGAAGAGTCCCCACTTCCATCAAAGAGGACCTTTTATAGATATTAGCAACAGGCTATCTTGGCCTATTAAACACCAAATACAGGCTATCAATCACTTTAGCTGGGAGAATGGATAAGATTTTTAGGATCAATTGATTAACTGACCACTCAATCCGAGAGCATTGTTCCTAGGCTACTTAGATTTGTGAGACTTTATTAATGGCGTTGTCTGTTAGAAAACTAATCAAAAAGCAATTGATTTCTTTCTAGAACTTGCTTTTGGCATTTTCAAGGTATTTAATGTCATACAATCAATGCCCATTTAAGCTAAGATACGGGACAAATCAACTCGTTGCCACGAACATTCCTACCCAACAAAAGCTTCAACAACTCGTTAGTTAAGTGCAACTCTTCACCCAAGCCTTGTTAGCAACTTGAGGGCAAAGTTAGACCTTGCCACCCTAATAAGTCTTAACACCTTCATAAACACACAATGCCTTAACTTCACGACATCCGGCTACACAAAAAGCATATAGATAATTACATTATCTTGAGGAAACTAGTAAGAATGATATTTATAGAAGTCCCTCAGTAGACCATATCTATACCTATGCATATAGAAAATACTTTGAATGTACTCCCCATAGTTATTATAGGATAGACACTAGTTACTGTAAATATCATTCTACACCAAGCTCTCTAAACTCTCAAGAGTCCTACAAATAAAGAACTAAGAAATAGTTTGTGCATGAGCATACTTAAAAAAATGTATATAACCCCTATTAGTGGAGAGTTTCTCCTTTATCCAAACGCATATTGAGCACTATATTTTTATGAAAACAAGTTTGGGCAACTATAATGGCTTTACCAACCTGAAAAAATATATATAAAGTATGTGCAATAACTTGGAGTTAATCATCTAAGACCTTGACTTAATATACAAGATATTTCCTGTAACCTTTAAAGGATCTGCGCGTAATTGATATAACAACTTGGAACTAAACTCTATTAAAGGGTTTAGTAACCTATGTGCTAAGCCAGTGGCACATTTTAACACCAGCATACCCACCAAGAAAAACTTCACTAAGCTTTTCAATGTTTCCCAACAAGAGAGCAAGTTTACATGGGTATATTTAAGAAGATTCAACAAAGAGATACTTAACATGGAAGAATGAATTGAGTCAATGACCTTAGAAACTTGATAAGAGGAGTACGAAAGCATGCCCCCCTAAAGAAAACTTTATGTCTTACTAAATAAGAATTTGTTAAAAGTGAAGCAATTCATAGAAAAATTATATATAGGTTGAAGTAGTCAGTTTGCTATAACATGAAATTTCTTATTTGTACTAAGATAACCAATATGACTAACCTTTCACGTGAAGTAATCAAGGTATTCAAAGCAAAAATCTTAGTGTCACCTCCAAGACATGTTTCCTCATAAGAACCTCCTTTATACTTATCATGAAGATCACTTTAGGATATATAATCCTTGATAAAAATATAAGTTTCTTGAATATAAATGACTTATTCTAAATGACTTTTTATCCTCTCTAGATGATGGCTAAAGGTTGCTCAAGATTTATCCTAAGAATGTGCAATTCTCTTAGGAAGTGATATATGTGATCTTTTTAGTACTATTTCCATTAAACCTCAAGGTATAGATACAGACTTGATCTCTCAATTCTATATGAACCACTCTTCAAGGGATAGACATAGTCTCCCCAGTGTTATATATATCACTATTCAAGGGATGAATTTAATCTCTTCGGTATTATATACACAAATATATGAGGGATGAATGTGATCTCTTAGTGCTATATGCATCAATCTCTCCAAGGTATAAACTTGATATTCCTGGTGTTATATATATCACTCTCTAACGGATGGACTTAGTCTTCCCAATGTTAGCTAGATACATCAATCTCTAAGAGATGTATGTAATTTTCCAAGTTTGATATGCACCACTCTTTAAGAGATGAACTTAGGTTCCTTAATGCTATATGCAATAATCTCTAAAGGATGGATGTGATCTCCTAGTGCTAAATACATTAATCTTCAAGGTACAAACTTGATCTCCTCGGTGCTATATGCACCACTATCCTAAGGATAAACATAACATCTCTAGTACCATATGCATCACTCTTCTAAAAATAAACTTGGTATGCCTAGTGTTATATGCATCAATCTTCAAG